AGTCCAAAGAACAAATCAATATTATAAAGTATTTTAATTTTTTAAAATATCATTTTTTAAAAATATAAAACTTTTTAAATCTTTCAAGTATAATTAATCAGATTTTATAAAAATATTTTTAATTATGGAGTTTAATCAATATATAATTTTTATTGAGAGCTTCTTTTAAATAAAGATAAATATGTAAAGAATGTGTAATTGTAAATATCATTAATCAACTTTAGAACGTGTAAATTAATTTTTAATTGAGGATTTTAAGTTCAAAGATTAAAAAATTTAATTGATCAAACTATACAAGTTTAATTAAAACAAAATAAATTACAAGGCTCTAATTTAAAATTGAATAATATTACAAAGACTCATAGATATATTTTTTTCCTAATTTTAAATGCCATTAATTAATTTAGGTTGTAATTATTAAAAATATTTTATAATTTTGAACAGAGTGAGTATAATGTTTTTATCCTATACAAGTGTCATCCAATTTGAAGCAATTGAGTATAATATATTTTTAATAATTTTATTTCTAAAAACAGTTAACATCATTAAAAATTACATAATCTTTTTATGTCTGCTTTTATTTAATTAGGGTAACTTTTTATGAAATATTTAACAGAGTAACTTAATCATAAATAAATATGAAAATATCATTAATTCTAAATATTAATTAAGAAAATTTCTGAAAATCATTAATTATTCTTAAAAAAACACAAAAAATATCTTATATTTTTAAACAGGGTATCTATCAAATCTTAAACGAAACAAGTAATATATATTAATTTCAAATAATATCCTTTTTTAGTGGCTAGGTCATATTGAAATCTACAAACATTTTCTTTCTAATTACATAGAAAAAACTATACATATGGAAAGAAGATTTTAGGTAATGGGTTGATGCAGTCATGTGGAAAACGGGATACAAAAGTGAAGAGGGAAATGCCATGCATCTTCCTCCTGCTTTCATTAAACAACAAAAAGGAAAAAAAAAAAAAAACCGTGTGGGACTTTTTTTACATTAAATTAAAATATTGGAAAAAGTTATAATACTCATTCATCCAAACCTGTAAATCAAGGCAATGATGCACTTTATCTTTCTTCTTTTTTCAATACAAGATCAAAAGATTCTCTTTAATTATATCAACATCAATAATTAAACCATGAACTCTGCCTTTATATTATCAATTAAGGGGCTTTCCAGTCATGGGAATAAACAAGTTCATTTAGCGAAACCTTATAAAAATTGACATGAATGATAGGCTTTATTGTGTTTTTTTATTTACTTATAATATTCTTTTATTAGAGAAAATTATTTTTTTAAAATAAGTCATTAGATGTGAATACTTTTTATAGTAAGAATTTAAACTCACATATACTTTTATAAATACTCTTTAAATTTAGAGACGTATCCTGTCTTTGATAATTGAGTTTTGACACCTAACTTACTTAAACACACTACTAAAAAAAAGCGCATCACTACTAAAAAAGCGCATCAATTGCTTCAAGACATTAAAAAAGGGGGAAAATGTCCCATTCTCACTGATTCAGGCAATTATTATGTTTTCAGTCAGATGTGCTGGCTCAACATATGGTGCTGAAAATACACGTGTAAAATCTATAGGAACTGAACAGAATATGTAGCTCTATCTAGGTCTTCTAGTATTTTCTACAGTGCTCCACACAAAAAGAACAAATGGATGGGATGATAAAAAATATTAGAAATCAATTTATTACTGAAGCAATCTGGGAGTACGCCACATTTCTCTATGTGTGCATTGTGATTGTGACAGCAAGAGAGGAAATGTGGAACTTACTTAGGAGAGAATTCTGGTCCCTTAATTTCCTAGGGCATTATTCTGAGCATGATCAATGGTATATTTGGATTAAAAATTAGAACACTGGAGTTAGAACAAATTGAAATTTGCAATCTGAAATTAGGATGGGGTGATTTATGTTTGTGTATTTTTTTCCTTAAAATTTAATTCAACAAATAAAAACTTATTTAAATAATAAAATTCAAAAGATAGTTTAGATGTACTGATCGATTGTAAATTGTAAATTTTAAAAATCTAAAATAACTTATAAATTTTAGAGTAAAATACGGTGACATCTCTTCCATTTTGTTAAAATTATTGAAACCTCTTTTCGATTTGTTTTCAAAACTTATACTTTAGTCCAATTTTTAACACTATTAAGAATATTTCATTAAAGATTTTAATTGTAAGTATTTAAAAAATTAAAATTATTAATTTGCTCTTATTATCTAATTATCTACCCTCTCTCCCAATTTAAAAAAAATTAAATATTTAAGTATGCCAATATTTAAATAAATAATTCAAAAATGTTAGTTCATTATATTTTTTACATGTTTGAATTTTTTAAAAAGTAGTAAATATATACGTTTATATAAATAAAAATTTAAAATATAAATAAAAAAGTAAAAAAAAATACATGCATGAATTTATGGGGTAATTTAAAGGCAGAATGATAGTTAGATCCCAAAACATTGAATTAATACCAATTAAGTCTTCAACAAATTTTTTTAAAAAATAAGTTAAAAATATCAATCCAAATTAATACAAATTTAGGAGTTTTAATTGTAAAAAAGTATTTAAATATCAAATTTAATTTTAGATTATAGCAAAAATTTCTATTTGTGAGTGTTTAAATTGATATTTATAATTTATTTTATAGAAATTTTGTCGAGGACCTAACTGTATTTAATTCATTCTTTTAAGACCTAATTGTCATTCTCCCTAATTTAAATGATGACAACATATATATTTAAAAAGGAATATTTTGGTCCAACATACAACTTAATAGTCAACTAACGGTTGGATGAATGAGAATGAAATTTTAAAAATAAGAGGATGCTTGTATTTTGTAACTATTCATATGAGGGGAGGTTTGTATATGTTTCAAAAATAGAAAAGTATTTGTAATTAAGGTAAATTATAAGGGAAGTTAGAGTATTTTACTCTAAATTTTAAAATGTTAAATTCCTTTTTTATAATCGAGTTTGAGGTATGGTCAGGTATTAAATAAAACACTTCTTCTAGCAGGGATTCGAACCTTAGTTTATTAAGTTATAAGGGATTAGTTCTTTCCACTAGATCCAACCTCTGTTGATTAAATATTAAATTCTAAAAATTTAAAATAAATTGATAAATTATAAAATATTAAACTTTAAAAAGCTAAAATAAGTTGATAACCTAGGTTTTGGCTCAAAATTTCTTTTAAGAAGTTAGAATTTTTTACTACTTCAATCTTAACATATATTTGTTTCAGAATTTTTTTTTAAAAAGCTTTTTTAGCCAAATTCAACATGCTCCTCAGTTTTTAAATGAGCTTTTCACTGCCAAACTAAGGTTTGGGCATTATTTTCTTAATAAAAGTGATAAAATTATAATAATATATTACATAATATCTCCACTGTCAAGAATACATCGTTTCCTTTCATCCATCCCTACTAATCAAGAAAGAATAAAATTAAAGACACGATCATATATACAAATTTTGAGGAGTGGGCATGCTTGGCAAGAGCATTAACAGTACTAATAAACTCTCTATATTTAAAGTTAGTGTTTACAAACCAATTGCTAGACAATAATAACCAAGCACAATGGGTGTCCTTCAATCATTTTGCGTGTAACAAGATTTATGCTTGAGCACAATTGGCGATAACTTATACTTCTACGCCTCTGAAGCCTTTCTTCTCAAATTAGCTACCAAAGCTTTTATCCCTCTAGCTGAGAATTTATTCCAACAAATATTATAAAGATATTAGTAAATTCCCAAACTGCCCCCTTTTCCAACCATTTTCGTAATTATAACCTAATTCACCATATATCACAGGTGGTGGAGAGATTGAAGCAAATAATCAAAGCATCATATGAAGACAACTCTATCGAGAAAAACATTAATGAGTTTTAAAATGGTAGTCTACTTTATCAACAAGAAAAGCCTAATCAGTCAATCCCATTAGAGATATGCCGAAAGAGGATAGCCTATTTTTAAAATCCAAATGTGTATAAATTATGAGTCTTGATTTAATATATTATTTCTTAGTTTAATCTTTTTATTCTTGTGCAAGATATTGGAATTTAGATCTGTCATTACACTAGTCAAGGTAGTGCAAGGGTTTGTGATCCAAACCATAATTAAACATTAAGGATCAATCATGATTAATATCATTTCAGGCTCATAAGAGGAGGAAACAATATAGAAAATCCAACATGTTGACCCATCCAAAACTTTTGACTAGATTGGTTAAGGAACTGGTTCATCAGTTTACTAGTCTAATCAACCATACTCAATTCATGTTCTTGTGATGCCACCTGCGTACTTGGGACTTTGGAGCCTTGTTGGATACCCCAACTTGGGGAAAGGCTTACTTAGTATTAGCTATTCTGCAATTTTGATGAAAATAGATGTTGGTACATAATTTGCTGGACGTATGATGTTTTTTTGACAAGTACTTTAGTTTTAAATATAGACATAATCAGTTCCTTACTAGAAACATGAGAATTCAATAATTTCTGAGGTAATGACTATAGGGCCATTTTGAAAAAAAAAATCTGAATTTTGAATATGGCACTATACATTCATTCCTTATGATCTTGCTCAAATATGCCTTTGCAGGGCATGTCTCTGGGTGCTGGATTGTTTTAGATGAAAGAATTCAAATGATCCTTTGTAGAAGCAGGATCTTATACCAAGTATATTCAAAGGATAATTTAATTTTTTTATTTTAAAAAAAGATTAAAGAGTAAAAATATCCTTAAATTTTTTCTGTAAAGAGCCATGAATATTCGAAACTTTTACTTGAAGTAATATTCTCCTGTAATTTTATAAAAGGTGCAATAATTTTTTACAGTTAATTTTTGTCATTTGACAGTTAAATATATATTTGTGATCCAACTTTACATGTGGTGGCTTTGATTTGATGTTATATTAATTATCTTTCTCGTCTCTGCTTTATTTTTGGTTTTATCGATCTTCTCTGCCTCTTTGTCCCTTTGCCCTTCGCCGCCGCCACCAGTTCACCACTAAATGCTTCCTACTCTTGAACCATGATCTGCTGATCTTCTTGCCACCAGTTACAGACCCTACTGTTAACTGAACGACAGAACAACAACTTAACAGATTCAACGAAAGCCAACCTCCGCGGAACCCATGGCAGAATATCCGATGAGAAACGAACAGCAAGGAATTGTTCAGAATCTGGGTATTCAGGTGAAGAAGGAAGAGAATTAAGAGCTCATGTGGGTCTAATGGAAAGAAAAAGCCAAATGATAATTTTGATTGAAACCCATTTGGGAAAGATAAGGATGATGATGTTAAGTTGGAGTTTGCTAGTCCAATTGTAGAAGAGAACCTGGTCTGTGAGTACTATGATGTTTTGCCGTGAATGGTTGCTACCTGTTTTCCTTACCTTCCTCATTACGATGCTTTTACGGCACTGAACTTAATTAGGCTTCAATTTTCACACTTTTTTTGTTCACCTTTTGAGTTCAGCAACAACATTCTGTATCCTGAAGAGGTCAAGGACCAGAAGATTCTTCTCTGTGCTTGCTATAACTATGACCACCAGGTTTTTGTTTAACTTTGCTTCGCTTTTTTTTTTTTTGTTAACTTCCCCCCTTTAAATCTTCCTTCTTGTTTATGCGTTGTTTGTAAATGTTAGACTTGTGCTAGACTTATCAAATAGATACTCAATGTATTTTGGCTTTGATGTCAACAAGACTATCTATTCAACTGTGTTTTTAGAACCATGGAAGATAACTTCTGAAACTGATGTATTTTTTCTTCCATGTTTCAATATATGAATAGCATTGGACTACCACGGAACTGTTGTTAAAAATGGGAATAGGTGGTGATTGAATTCAAAATGGTGGGATTTATCTTAAGAATTTGTCTTTCAATCAACTCTTAGTCGTCCCCAGAAAATTTGACCTACTGATCTCAATGCTCCAATGGCGATCAATCCGTGAAGAAGAATGGCTTACTAGAATGACATGTATGATGTTGGGTCAAATGAAAAACATAGGAGAATGACAGAGAGTTTTAAGTTAGGTTCCAAATGTTAAATTTCAAAAATTTACAATTTAATTTTTTAATTTTGCAATGTTATAATAAATTTATAATTTATTTTTTAAGTTTTAACATGGTTGAAGAATCAAAATTTATTTTCCTTGTTAAAATTTAGAATACAAATTACAAATTCATCACAAAAAAATTGTAAAATCAAAAGTTTGAGTTTCAAATTTTTGAATTTTAACACTTGAGACTTAATTTAAATTAATTATTTCTTTTGAACCTCTCTATTATTTTCTCTAAAAACAAAGATTTAATGGTCAACGTTGGTCAAAGTTAATAGTGAAGTAATATTATCCCAAACAAAAATTTAAAATATCAATCACTTCTTGCAAACAAGTTCTAAAACATTTCAGCAGCACTTTAAGCCTTTAAAAAAATTAATAACTTAAAATCTCAAAGAAGAATAATAATGTACTTATAAATGATCATAACATAATTCCCTTGACCATTCACATTAATAATACATTGTAAAGTCAGATGCATGAGAATAAGTTCATAGAAATATATTTAAGAATCGAATGAAAAATGAAGGAAGATGCTCAAGATCAATTTCTTTTTCTACTCATCATTAGCCCTTTGATTATTTGAGTGCAGGTGAAGCTCTTAGGAATTGTAGGAAGCCCATTTGTAAGCACAGAGGAGATTGCTTTGAAACTGAAAGGAGTGAAATATGAATACCTTCATGAATATGTTAAAAAGGAAAGTGATCTTCTAAAGTACAATCTAGTTCACAAGCTAGTTTCCTATGCTGGTTCAGAATGAAAACCTATATGTGAGTCGCTTGCCTTTTGATCCTCACAAGAAAAGTGATCTTCCTCTAAAGTCCCTTACTGCCTTTTGATCCTTACCAAAAAGCCTTGGCTCATCTGGTCAAAGTTCATTGATGGCCAGTTAAGCAAATTCAAGTTTTATCTCATAGATGTCTATTTTCTCATTAGATACATAATTTCTAATAATCTAGAATGAGTTTGATTAGTTTTGAGCAAAATAGATTTAATTCCTTTTAGGATAGCAAAGGATTTTTTTGGATTGCATATAGATATCTTTTTATTAAAGGCAACCCTGTTCGAGGCATGATTAGGCATTAAAATCTTGTCAATTTCTTTTCATTTTTTTAAAAATTAATTTTTAATTTAAATTAATTATTTTTATTATTAAAAATATAAAATATACTTTTTAAAATACAGTTGAAATATTTTTAAGGTATTTTATAGATTAAAAATAATAAAAATATAATAATGTGAAATTATTTAATTTTCTTAAGAAATAGCTGAAATAATGTACTCAAATATATAATTTCTGAGTATAAATTGAACTAAAATTTAAAAGATTAATTAATATTTAGTATAATTATATTTATATCTTTTTTAAATAAAATTAAAGTGTCATTCGAGTATTGTTTGGGCTTAGCCGCCTGAATTTTTTGGGTCTCTTTTGGGCCAGTCCCAAATACCCCAATTACTAAAATGTATTATTTTGTGAAAAAGTCTTAAATTATTTCAAACTCACTCAAATTAGCCAATCCAGTTTGACTGAAATTACAAGTTCTAATGTTCCATCCAGATTCCAGATGTTCGCAATGCCAGCCCTGCTCCTCAACCAGTGGCTCTGATATATAGTTATAAGTTATGTTCACTATACATTCAGGTGGCCCACTTCAGGTTCAAGTATCCATTTATCTTCAATTCCTCATCAACAATTTCACATGGTTTCTCATAATCGGAGCTAATATGGAGATTTTTGTGGTGCAACTTGTAAAAACATTGTCGCTGTGAAATTCAGAGTTCTGTTATTAAACAAGTTATACAACTAATTTTGACTAAATTATGCAAATTGTTGATAAAAACTATTAAATGCAATTTATCAAGATAAGAAACAAATTAAGTATGGATATATGGAGTTATTCAAGTCTAGAACAGATAATCTAAGAAATCTTATACAACAAAAAAGATAAAAATACTAACACAAAAAGAAATGTTTAATTAGTGCAAGTCTTGTCCTCCTGCACCACTTCACTGGATCATGGGATTCCACCACTTTCTCCCCTCTGAAGCTTAGGCTCCAACAACTCTTCTCTTTTTCTTTTTCTACCCGAGAGCTCAAAATCATGGTCTTTGTCTTCTATATGCATTTCTCTGCCTACAAAAACAAAGTAGTGAAACTGTAACAATAATGTACTAACTTTTCTTTTTGGCCTAAAACTAAAAATTTTAATCAAATTTAACTCTTAAAACTGGTGCAAAATAATAACACAGATTAGGGAGGAGCTAAAAATACTTAGTGATAGTGGATGTTCCATCTGCTCGTCAAATGACTCATGATATTTCAAGTAGATTGCTGTCCTTTTCACAGTGAATCCATTACCAAAAACTACAATCACCTCCACTTGGTCATTTGAATCTAGATTTGCTACTATTTCCTTCCACTCTGCTTCTTCAAATGAAGTTAGTGAATCTTGCCTGTAGTGAAGAGTGGTTGTCTTTGTATAATTTATGATCATTAAGCTAATATAAGATTCAAAAGCCATGTTTCCCAGATCACCTGAAGGGAAATATACACAACAAATGACCATCCCTTTCAAGTCACAACCACTAACTCGAGGCACTTCAAATTTCACAGAAGCTCTTTCACTCTTGAAACTTTGCCAATAGGGATATTTGTCACCTGGGAGGACACAATCATCACCGTACTTACTGGGACTCAACCCCTGCTTAATAACACAAGCAGCAGTGTAATTCAACTATATAGTTGGGCAAGAAGCAAGTTAATTTTTACTTTTATTAAAAAATTGCATAAATTAGTAACTACTTTCTCTTCTTTCCAAAAGAAAAAGAAAAAAAGGAATTAAAAAGAGAACCTGTAAAATATTCTCTAGAAGAGTGGCAGTGACTTGATCATTCTTTGCTATTTGAATTAGAAGATGTCTCAAACAATTTTCTGATCTTGAGATGTGAACCTGACTATCACGGCTAGATAACACAGAAGATTCAGTCTCTTTGATTTTTGAAGCATTTGGTATTGTTGCCATATCCATGCAAATTCTGGCATAAACGGACTCCAAAATTTTGGCAGCACTGCGAATCATTTCAGGGTCATTCTGTGATCTGATTTCCAACAAAAGGCTTTGTAGTTTTGCGAAGTTATTAGAAATAAATGAAAGACCAGCCATACTGCTATTCAACATATTCAAGGAAATTGGCATGCCCACATGTGTTGGAATTAGAGATAAAGGATTATTTGTTGGGGACATCCTTGACCAAATGAGAGTAGGAAGCACATCACGTGACAATCCCCTATAGCCACAAAGAGATATATAGCCAATGCTTTTTAACCTAGCCAAAGAAAGAGGCACTTGTGTTATTGCAGTGTCATCAGCAATCAGAGAAGACAAGGAATCCATTTGCTCTATGTCTTCTTCTAACTTTTCAATCTTTGCACAACCAGACAGAATGAGAGTTTTTAGGGATTTTAAATTATAGACACTTCTTGGGAGAGTGCAGAGGTTAGTACAATCCTTCAAGTTTATTAGAAGCAGTTTATTGGCATGTCCAATGGTAGGATGAACAATGGACAAATTTGGACAATTTTTAAGAATCAACTTTTCAAGATTTGGTAGTTTTGAGAAGTCAGGAGTCTGCGTCAAGAAAGGGGAGTGACTAAAATTTAGGATTTTCAGTCTCTCCAATAACTGCAAGAAAAGAACATTCGAGGAAAAATTAGTGAAGAAAATCATAAAATAAAGAAGATGGAACAAATTAACGTGTCAAAAATCATGAATGTTTGAAAGTGTCACTCATGAGTTTTGGCATTACTATTAAAGGCTAATTCTCAAGCCTAGCTTTAGAGTAAAAGTAGCATTAAGGCATTTAAAAGCTTGAAAACCACTTTAATGTTTGGCAAGTCTCATAAATATTTTAACATCTTTTTAAAGAATAAAGATTAATATGCAAATCTCCTTGGAAGTTTTCTCGGAGGTGCAATTGCTATCCTAAAGTATTTTATGGCGCAATGTTGCCCCTGATGTTTCTTTAAAGTGGTGCAATGTCGCCTTAAGTTGACAAAAACAAAACATTGACCGTTAGTTGACTTATCATGTTAATATGACGTGCTCATGTGGCATCCAACTCACTTCTTTTGCATCTGAAAATATGTCTTGACCTTTCATTCCCCACCAAGCGCCCTTACCCTCTTAACATTTTTGAATTCTAAATCCATCACCAGTGACAATATTGAAATCAAGCAAATAATTTTACAAACACCCTAAAGATTTCATAAATTGGGCAAATGCAATCAAGCTTCATCTCACTATCACATATAGAAATAAAGTTTTTCCATCAATTCAACAAAACTTCAAGTATTACTTGCATTCACAGAATTGTAATTAGGCGTCTTCGTGCTTCTTCAAAATCCCCAGACTTTTGAGATCCAAGAAGGGAAGGAAGCCAGTGTTGATCTGTCACTTCAAGGAAGGGAGAGTGAAGGATCCATACCCCTTTGAAGCCTTGATGAATCGGACCCAAGGCATGAGAGGAGAAATTGCAAAACAGAAACACAGACAGGATCTCGGTAAATTAGATCTCAGCAAGTGAGGGGGGGAAGAAGCTTAGGAAAAGTCATGAGAGACAAAGGAAGTGATATGAGCAAATAACAACACCGATCAGAGCAAGAAGAAAGTGATCTCTTAGTCAATGGCTCCTAACTAGAAGGCTTGAGCATCATGAGCTTTGGCGACCTAAGCATCAAGAAGCAGCAACAATATCATGTAAAAAGATCAACCTGGTGGTGGTCTTATGGTGTCATGGAAGAAGAAGATGAATGGCAGTGTCATGGCCTGGCAATGGAAGATGGTAGGTCAGGAAGAGGAATGGAGGAGGAAGAAGAAAGGATATGGGCTGATGGCAAACATAGTGGGACCCATACCATTTATTATTATTATTTTATCCTACATGTTTTTTTCAAATGATAGAAAGTGATGTCGATGTTTTATAGGAATGCCACATAAGCATGAAGAATTCAATTAACGGTCAACATTTTGCTTCTGTCAACTCAGGGTGACGTTACACCACTAAATGTCAAGGGCAACATTGCACCTCAAAATACTATAGCATACCCATTACACCTCTGAAAAAGCTTCAATAGTATATTTGTACATTAACTCAAAGAATAAACCAATCAGAAAAAATGACAAGTACAACATCCAGTGGCTTAGTTTATGGCTTTATAGTATAGTTTCGTAGAAAGAATGTAGGTGAGGAATATAAAAGAACATAAATTAAAGAAAATTCAAAAGCTATGTTCAAGAGTAGTGATAAAGGAAGATTCATTCAGAAGCTGTTATTAAAAATATCTGAAAAGAAGATCTATCTAGAAGTTATGTAGTCAAACAAAATCTAATAATTATTAGGATTAAAGTACATTTCGGCCCCTCAACTATTTACTTGGAAGCTTTTGGTAAACTAAATTTTTATGCAGTGCAATTTTCCCTTCAACATTTGAAATAATTTGTTGAACACCCTATCATTAAAAAAGTCAACTGTAACCATTCGCTGACTTAAAAATGATAGAAAATGACCCATAAATTACAATTATGTATTTAATAAGAAAATTAATATCAATTAAGTCTTCTAAATTACATATAAATAACATGACACAAATGTTATTGCTTACCCATGTAAAAATCCAGAATACAATTTTGACCAACCATTAATATAAGGACTCAATTGATATTAATTTTCTCATAGAGTATTTATTTGCAATTTTATGGGTCTTTTTTTGTAATGTTTTAAAACTCTTTTTTGGATAATTTTTCGGTCAACTAACAATCAAAATTAACTTTTTTAACAATAAAATGCCAAGTGCACTATTTTTAAATGTTGAAGGGAAAATTTTACCATATATAAGTTTAGAATACTAGACGTTCCTAATTGAATAGTTAAGAAGTAAAAATGTCCTTTAACCCTAATTATTAAACTTTATTCCTAATTCTAACAAAGTATACGTACCTGGGGTTCCCTCCAAACTTGTTTGAGGCTACTGTATTTTAACTCAATAGCAACTAATTTTTTCTGATATAAGTTGGCAGGGATGTTTCTCAAAGGAAACCCATACCAACAAAGCCATCTGAGATCTCTACTAATGTATTTATAGTCTCCATCAAGCTCCACATTACCAAGGCAGAGCAATCTGAGTGTCTTCATCTTTTTAAATGCTTTGGTAGAAAAACAATCTTTATTGGTTTGCAACAGATTCAAAGCTACCCCCTCAACAAATTTTGTACCCTGTGAATATTACAATATAAAAATTAAAAGTTAGTAAATCTATTATTTGTCTATTGAAAGGCAAAATGTAAACCCATGTCACAAGCAGAATAACAAATACAGGATAGGGAAGTTCTTACACTATGTTTTGATAGTAAATCAACCACATCTTCATGAAACCATAACCTACTACACTTTCCAAGCTCTTTTGGTGATCGTTCTCTGATTATTTCTCTCCCCATATCTCGCAGCAAATCATGCATGCCAAGCTTGTTCTTCTCATCAATAGTTACAAGGCTCCGCTCCACAAGGACACTTATTCCAATGTCTGGAAAAAGTCCACTACTTTCCAATATCTTTGTGACATCACTCCTATCCATTCCAATAAAGAAGCAAGATATATCAAGGAAGATTTCTTTCACCATGTCATCACTTAACCCATCAAAACTTATTTTTAGCTTCTTTTGTATCTCATCATTGGGGATTTTTTTTAGTTTCTCTAGTACACTTTTCCACTCTGTCACTTCCCTATCACATAAATAGGAACCAAGGATTTGAAGTGCTAGTGGCAGTCCTCCAGAATAAGCAACTATATTTCTAGAAAGTTCAACGAATCCCTTTCTAGGACTTGGTTGCTTAAAAGCATGCCAACTGAAAAGCTCAATAGATTCATGTTGGTCCATCTTTTTCATTTCATATACATGGTTCACTTTAAGAACATTGAGCAAATGCTTATCTCTAGTTGTGACAATTATTCTACTCCCTGGACCAAACCATTCACAACTTCCACATAAAGCATTCAGCTGCTCAACCTTATTTACATCATCAAGCACAACAAGTGCTCTCTTATGGCAAAGATGTTCCTTTAATTTGACTTTTCCAAAATCGATGCTAAATATTTCCTTCTTTTCTGTTTTACAAATCTCCAAAAGAAGCTGTTGCTGTAAGTTAACTGGACCATTATCTCTCTTCCAAACTTCCCTAATATTTGAAAGAAAACTTCTGCTCTCAAATGTTCGACCAATTTCATTATAAATGGCTTTGGCAATGGTTGTTTTACCTATACCGCCCATCCCCCATATCCCTAGCAAGAGAACATCATTTGGTGAATGGTTTTTTGATATTTTAATATAACCTTGTAGACGAGAAGACACTCCAACAGGATGGTCAGCAATAAACAACTCTTTCTTGTCCAATATTTTATTGACATGCTCAACGATATTCTTGATATCTTCACTTTCATTCCTGCATTATAGACAAATATAACAAAATATAAGCACCAACAATATAAGCACAAGTAGGAAAAAAAACAGTCATGTTGCTTAAAGCAACAAGCATCAAAATTAAAGCAGCCATTACAAACAAATTACAACAAAAACAACCATACTGGAAACTGACACTGCAGTACCCTCAGAACTGGAAATGTCAATATCAAACTTTAAGTGGTGAACTAAAAGAAAAATATATCAAATGAAAATTCATCATACAAAACATAGACAATATTAAGGTGAATGAGAAGACATGGCTCGTCAAACATTTAAACAAACAATTGAACTCCAAGGAATGTGGGCCCCAAAAAGGAACTTAAGGAAACAGCATACTGCAATCTCCTCTTATCTGCAACAACCATTACTAGCGGAAAATTTTCATTTTACACAAGTCAACAATGTGAGAGGATCTTGACAAATTACTGGTGGGGAAAATGAGAATAGAGAAATAGAGAAGATGAACACACACTTAACTATGAACCCCAAATCTCTATAATTCCTCAGTTTTCCCCTCTTGTCACTACAAGGAATATGAGTTTGCCAACAATTGGCAAAGGTTTCAACCGGCATAAAATTGGATTCCTTAAAGGGTGAAACTGAGGCTATAGGCTAGTATGATACAAAATGGAAAAGGGAAAGGGAAAACTCTACCATAAACATGGAAAACTTTATTTCCAACAAAGTCACTTTGCCATCTAACAAATACAATAAAAACACTTCCTCACTTTTTCCCATTTTCCAAATAACTTTTCCATGTACCAACCACCACATGCACTCTAAATTTTATAGGGAACAACCAGAAAGGAGTAATTTTTCAATATTAAAAACATGTTAGAGATTATGGCATCCTCAATACCTTAATTTAATTGTTGCTTAAATATCAGTCCTTCCTCCAAGGTGCAATTTTTAAACCCAAAAAAAAAACATGCAAACAATTGCAGGGGCTATAAAACTATCATAATTTGAATAATTTACAGCATTATAAAAATAACAGACATGTCAATTTGACCAAATTCGGAGCAATATTTTAAGACAGAACAAAACATCATTTGTGCTTGTGAAATTGCCATACTTCTTTTTTTTTTTTTTTTTGAAGAAGAAGTGAACACATTTTTGGCCAACTAATAATGCACACATGCTTTGACTTCAAAACTTTCAGCTGCTTGTCCAAACTCCACTCCAGCACATTGATTAGATGTATCGATATAAGACTTATTCTCTGCTAACGTACCGTTCTTATTTGTTAGATATTTCTTCAAAAAATTCTCATATATAAAATTTCAAGTGATTAAAAAGAGAAAATTGTAGCTAGAAATCAATTGTGCGTGTCTGTTTAGGCTTAGCAAAATTGAAGAGAAATAAAAAAAAGAAATATTTAAAAATTACCTGGAATTGAGCACAACAAACCCTGCAATGCTCGCGACTTCACGGAGAGCTGTTCTCCACCTCAACACTTCTTCTTCTGTGAGTGAACTTCGTTGTATTAAATCTCGAAATGCTTCTTCAAAACCAGATATTTGATTACGAACTTCGGATGGACCCACCCCATAGAACACAGGCAGAACAACTCGACCCTGTGCCCTGTGAAGCTCCATGATTTGTGAGAGCTCGTTAAGGCACCATCTAGAACCAGCATATTCTTTGGAGAAGATAATGATTGAAATTGTGGAAAGTTCAATTCCTCGTGACAATTCACTTGAGAGAGGATTCCCTCTGGGAAGGACCGCATCATCTTTGAAAACATGAATTCCAGCGCTCGATAGAGAGTAGAGATGTGAGGTGAAAGTCGCTCTAGTGTCTTCGCCTCTAAAGCTCAAAAACACGTCATACCGAGCCCTACCAGATGAACCACTTAAGGGGCAAAATCAGATTAACGCTCCTCCCAAATTATAAAATGCTTTGAAAAAAAATTTAACATTTTAAAATATAAAATACTTTAAAAAAATAAATTTTTATTAATAATATTTTTTAATATTAACCTCTCATATATATCTTTTTTTAATATTTTTTATAAATGAAATATTCAATAAAAAATATTTTTAAAAGTTTATATTTTTATTTTAAAAAAGTAAAGTTGTAAAGTGTGTTTAATAAATTTTATTAATATGTATGATTTTATCAAAAAAGTGTTTTATGATTTAGAATGGAGGGAATATTAAATTTCAAGAAGTAAGTACTATAATTGCAATTTTATCCTATTGTTATTGAATAAGTTCAAAACAATGTATTCATTGATATGTTTATTACTCTCTAAGGTTTTGGCTTGATTTTGCCCCAAAAAAAAAAAAAGTGGTTTTGGTTTTATTTTAGGATTAATGTCTAGTTTTTCCTTTAAACTATTTTTGCAACAACACTCCTAGACTTTTCTATTATAGCAATATCATCTTTAAAGTCAATAAATCTTAGCAATGTTACCCTTGACATTAAATGAGCAAATGTTGACCATTAACCTTGTGACTTAGAACTAAGTTCCTTAAAATAATTAAATCATAGTAATGTTTCTTAACGTAATTAAATCATAATAATATTACTCCTAACATAAAATTTGAGTTAGCAAAGTTAATGAACAATGTTTACCCATTTAAAGTCAAGGCCACATTATTATTTTTAAAAGTTTATATTTTTATTTTAAAAAAGTAAAGTTGTAAAGTGTGTTTAATGAATTTTATTGACATGTATGATTTTACTAAACAAATGCTTTATAATTTGAAATAGAAGGAGTATTAAATTTCAAAAAATAAATACTATAATTGCAATTTTATTCTATTGTTATTGAATAAGTTCAAAACAATGTATTCATTATTATGTTTATTACTTTCTAAGGTTTTGGCTTGATTTTGCCCCGAAAAAAAAAGTGGTTTTGGTCTTATTTTAGGATTAATGTCTAGTTTTGCCTTTGAACTATTTTCGCAACAACACTCTTAAACTTTTTTATTATAGTAATACCATCTTTAAAGTCAATAAATCTTAGCAATGTTACCCTTGACATTAAATGAGCAAATGTTAACCATTAACCTTGTGACTTAGAACTAAGTTCCTTAAAATAATTAAATCATATTAATGTTACTCTTAAAGTAGTTAAATCATAATAATATTACTCCTAACAAAGTTAATGATCAATGTTTACCCATTTAAAGTCAAGGTGACATTATTATTTTTAAAAGTTTATATTTTTGTATAAAATGTGTTTAATCAATTTTATTGGCATGTATGATTTTGCCAAAAAAATGTCTTATAATTTAAAACGGATTGAGTATTAAATTTCAAAAAGTAAGTACTATAATTGCAATTTTATCCTATTGTTATTGAATAAGTTCAAAACAATGTATTCATTGATATGTTTATTACTCTCTAAGGTTTTGGCTTGATTTTGCCCAAAAAAAATAAGTGGTTTTGGTTTTATTTTAGGATTAATGTCTAGTTTTTCCTTTAAGCTATTTTCGCAACAACACTCCTAAACTTTCTTGTTATAACAATATCATCTTTAAAGTCAATAAATCTTAGCAATATTACCCTTGACATTAAATGAGCAAATGTTGACCATTAACCTTGTGACTTGAAACTAAGTTCCTTAAAATAATTAAATCATATTAATGTTACTCTTAAAGTAATTAAATCATAATAATATTACTCCTAACATAAAATTATGTTAGCAAAGTTAATGATCAATGTTTACCCATTTAAAGTCAAAGCAATATTATTATGATTAAATTACTTCAAGGGTGACACTATTACACAAAAAGTTTAGGACAGTCAATGTTCCTACGAAATTAGTTCAATGGCAAAAATGGATATTAACTCTTGATGTACAATTACATATTCATGATTAGAGTACTTTAGAGTTGTCTCTTATCGCTAAAGCTTTAAATTTTTTCCTATTACCTTGTAAAATTTGTGAGGAGGTTCTAATTGAGAACCCGCCTAATTTCTATATTTGGTTGACTGTAGCGTGTTTGGAGGGCTCTTGTTAGCTGTGAGAGGCCTCAAGCTCGTGTTAAATTCGAACCCAGGTTTGAATGATAATTGTTGGAGGAGGCAGTTAGGATTTTGAATTTCTTGAGGTTCTTACGAATTAATCTTGGTTTAAATAATATCTATAATTTTTTTTTTTTGGAGATTCTAGAGCATCTAATCGATGTAGAATATTTGTTTGGTGGACTGGAGGATTTCTAGAGTAAATTAATGCATGGAAATGAATTAAATGGAATATAGAGGATTGATTGAGTGAAGAAACAATAAGGAATGAGACTGATAATGGTGATCAACATAATTGGAGAAATTATAATTAGAACTTCTATTAATCGTCCCTTTAAATATATTATTATTGATGAACCCCATGCGGATTGAGTAGATTAATTTTGTTGCATTGTCATGGGCGAGTGGAGACCACAAATTGACTTGTATAAGTTAGGGAAGAGGTAACTACGTCTACCTTACCATGCATGCCTGGCATTCTGGTTTGATCTTTTTTATAGTGCATTAGTATTATGCAATATGTATGTATGTATTTTACATTTAGACATATAACCTAACCACTTGATTGATTTCGTTTTGTGAACTAGTTTTGTTAAGTGAGAATTTTGCCTCTTCAATAATGATCTGGAGTTTAGAACTGAAAAACTATATGCATGTTAATTGAAAAAGATTTATCATGATTCAATCACGTAAATGGGCTATGATGTTGAATTGTTGTTGAATGGGACTGAGTTGTTGGATGTAGTGAATATATGTTGATTATTTTTGCCATATGCTATGCCACTGCTACGTGCCTAACGGTTGGCCATTCTTAAAGCCTTGATATCTCTTTTTCCTTTGGCCAAGATTGTAAGGAGCTCTTGGCACACATAACACCTCTATGAAAGGTTTGAAAAGAGAAAAAACAAATGGACGGCTTAGTGGTAACTGGCAAGTTTTTTGTTTCTAGTCAGGCTACATATCTCCATTAGCAAGGTTGGAAAAGTTTAGTCATATAGATGGGTCTTGTTATTATAACTTATTAGTTACAAGTGATAAGGAAGAAATGATGAAAGATTTATGTAAGATAGTATTTGGATTAAATTTGAATTTAAAATCTTAGATTTCAAATCTCAAATTTAAAATCCATGTATTTTAAATTCATATACACACAAGTAAATCTAAATCCATAAATTTTAAAATGCCCAAACGAGATTTGACTTAAATTCATATTCATATGTATCTAAATATAACAATATATATTTGAGTAATGACTTTTGTGAACTGGAAAGCATGAGTTACATAATTTTGAATTGTTAATTTCACTTAATTAACTCTAAACCAACCCTTTATGTTTGTGTAAATAAGACTCTAATTATTTGAACCACGTGTCTCATTATTGTGGCTTAAACAATTTCAAGTGACTCAAATTTCAAAGAATCGATTATTTTGGCTAAAATCATGGTTTGGGAAAAAAACACCCAAACACCTCCATTTCTACATAATCAATTATTTACGATATAATCACATTTTACTTGAAGTTGGCAGCACTTGCTTATCAATTTTAATTTTTACAATTACCAGTATTTATTGTTTGTCGGAATGTTGACTCACCAAATATACCCCTCTCGAATGCCCCTTGCTTATATCCTCTCTCTATTGTCATTGGTGTTTCTTGTGTGCTCCTGCCTCACTGCACCTCCACCTCTCTCCTCCCTTACCAAGTTATATATATTTTTCCACAAATTAAGTTATTAATATTACCTTAAAATATAATTTAAATTTGTAATTAATTAGTATATAATTGTATGTTAAGTAATTATATAAATATTAAATGGATCGCTATTATATTTTTAATCAATATATAATTTAAATGATATATTTTTACTTCTTAATAACATTTAACAAATTTAATAATATTAGATATAAATTTATTACTAATTTAATTTTTAAAAACAATGTTTTTATAGTAATTTGTACAGTTAAAATTAATTTTAATTAAATTTCAAACATTTTAATTTTTTAAAATTAATTTTAAAAAAATAATATCAAAACAGATTGTATTATAATATAATCAATTATAATTAAAATAAATTATATTAATTAAATATTTTTATAATTAATTATAATCAACTGAAATTCAAATACATTCTAAAATTTTATTGCATGTAAATGAATGATTGTAATAAATTTATGATTTAAATGTTAGATGATCAATCATTATGACTCGATTTTAATTTTTTATATTTAACTATCATAAATTTATCTTTTCATAACATTTTATATTATTCAATCTATTATAACTATATGTCTCTCTCTTTTTTAACCAAAATATGCATGAGCTTGTTTAAAAACTTATTTTATGAACAATTTTTTATTTTTAAAATAAAAAATAAAAAATATTTGATAATATGTTTTTAACAAAAATCTTGGCAAAATATAAGTATACTCAATATACTTGTTTTTAATTAACTCAAGATATGTGTATAATTTATTATTATTTATTTTATAATAAATTTTTATTATTAATGTTATTAACATATTAAAATAATTATATTTTAATGTAATTGAATAAAATATATTAAATATATAAGGTTAAGAGAAAATACTTCGAACGTGCCTCTAACCAAATCTGACCAAATCATTATTTTTTTTAAAATATTTTTATTAATAATAACTTTATATTTATTGTAAGATGTTTAATAAAGATAAAGTTAATTGAAAAGTAGGTAATTATTTTATTAGAAGTAAAATTTAATTAAAAATATATTATATTTTTTTTTTCTAATTAAATCAAGACATAAGTGTAATCTATGATCATTTATTTATAATAAATTTTTATTATTAATATTATTAATATATTAAAATAATTATATTTTAATGTGGTTGAATAAAAGTATATTAATATATATGTTAAGATTAATACCTTATAATTGCCTCCCCCCAACGCCATACATCATGATCCTCATCCGAAGCAGCACCAGTACCGAAAAAAAGTCCATCCTTTTGTCATCGGAGACTGCGACCGTTTCAACCTTTATGCCCGCAAATGAGAGTGGGGGGTTATACAATCATCAACCAATCGAATCTAATTTCAAAATACATATTTCAATCATCTGAAAAGAGCAAATTACATTTTGCCTTGTTAAACTTGAAAATACATATTTCAATCATCTTACTTTTACTTGACTTCAAAACTTGAAAAGAGCAAATTACATTTTGCCTTGTTAAACTGAAAACTCTGTCATAGAAATCACCGATTCCTCTATTATTTTCCAGAAGAATCGGTGATATATGCTCTCCTTTCTCCGATGAATTTTAAAATAAGAAAACCAAAGAATCCGTTGAAATTAAAACAGCGTCGTTTCGTTAAAACTCAACAAGTGATCGATCAAAGACTGGATCAGGAACAGATCAAATAGAAAGATGAAAGCAGATTAGTTGTTTAGGGTCAGATCGAGATTAGATGGGAAGTTACCTGTCAAGCTGGGGTGATCGATGAGAGATTGATCTTATTTATCTATCGCATCGATCAGAATAAGATTGAGAGATACGAGGCTTTTGCTGCTTTTAAATCTCGCTCCATGAGAATTTTCCGGAGAAATGAGGATGTGAATCATGTGATGAAGGCTCTAGTGAAAGTATTCACGAAGCTGCCCAGGAAAGTAAAGCTAAAGCGTTTAAACTTTAAAGGCTTTTCTTTTTTCACAAGAAAGTCTTGTACGTTTGGAACGGGGTCAGTCAATTAACACAGGGGAACGGCCATGATAAGAAATCTGAACCGTCGAGATTCTGAATGGTTCAGATTAACAATTTTTACTTTTATTTTTATTTCATAATCATTAAAATAAAATTATAAAAAATATTAAATCTATTTTATTATCAATTTGAATCATATATACTTAATCTTATAGTTCAATTCAATATTAAAATTTTTAAAAATTTTAGAAATTAATTATCTAGAATTGCTCTGGGTAGTCTTTTTTTAAAATTTTTAACTCACAATTATTTTGAAGTTTTAATTTAGATATTATCTTTCTTTTAGGGATTTAGGATTTTAAATTAACATGTTATTGAATTAATTAAAAAATTAGTATTGATTGTTAAAATTAGTAATGATAAGTACCTTTATTATCTTCAAACTAAAGTAAGTTAGATTATATGACTTGTACTTTAATGCTACAGGCAAGTTTTTTTTGGATGCGATAAAGCACTATAGCCTTGATGAGAAAGAAAATAAGTTGAAATTGAAAATTCAAAATGAAAAAAATATAAAAATATTAATTAAAATAAACAAACAAATTAAATAATTTCATCATGTTTGATCTATTATCCAGCTGCACATTAGTAGAATTCAGGTAGTAAAACCTTGTAGTTTTAACAGCACCCGACATAATCCGAATCAACATCTAGTGGCTCCTAAAACAATTTGAAAGCATATGTCATAAATTTAGAATGACAAGATAAATTAAATTCATTAGAATACCACTAAACTCACCCTTGTATATAAAGTACTAGAAATAACATCTCCGCAATATACAACCCGTACACAATTTCAATCACTATAAAATTTCATATACAGCTCAACCATTAATCAAAAAATCAAATGATAAAAAATTTTCAATCAAACTAGTTGAATGTTGTTCAAACAAAAAATACAAAAAAAAAAAAGAATATAGATTTAGATAAAAATAAAATTAAATATAACTCTCATCTAATCATATATTATTAGTTTAACAAGCATTTTTAAGTTATCCAGGTTGAATCATTTCAGATAAAGAGATTCAAAGGAAATGAGAAGAAGAGAAAACACAACAATTACATAATGATGCATGAACACCTAATGGAGGAGAGGAGCAGACCCATAAAGTTGATGACTAAAGATGAGTGCTCACGGTGTTTCAAAACACAGCAAAACAATGGTGAAGGTTGTCAGTGGTGAAGAAATGGGAGAGGAAGAGAAGAGATATGAGGAGACAATGAACACAAAAAATGAATGTTTGATTTGAGGGTGGGGGTCTGATATAAAAGGTATATTGGATAGTTAACATTTTAACCTTCCAATATAAGAGATATAATTAGACAATTATTAATAATAATCATGTAATATATTTTTTTATTTTAAGAATTTTCAAATATTTGAAATATTCAAACATATATTGAATGGTAGATATATTAAACAGTTATTAATAGAATCATTCAATAAGTATAAATATTGGACGGTTAATATTATAACAATCTAATAAGACCTGTCATTTATTCTTATTCTGTAGTAGTGCAATAGATTATTTTGAGCATCTTTCATCCAATATCATTACTTCTTGTGATGGACTACCATTACTTCACAAGTTATTGGCTCTCTCTATATAATAGGACACCGCAAGAGTGGCGAGGTGTACTGCATGAATTGGATACAATTCCTTATAAAGGTGATATAGAAAAAAAGCTCCACATTAGCATTAAATTTTTAACTAATTCTGAGAAAGATTTGTGCTTTAATATAGCTTGTTTCTGTGTGGGTCAGAGTAAAACCTATGTCACACAGTTGTTAAAAGGCTCATGATTTCCCTTAGAAATAGGAATGCCTGTACTCATTAAGCATTACCTTGTAAAGGTCAAGAATGACAAGCTTTATGTTCATGATTAGCTGCGGCAACAAGTAAGAAGCCGTCCTGAGAAGCCAAAGCTGAAATATAGTTATGATGTATTCTTATGTTTTAGAGGTGATAATACACGTAAATCACGTAAATCCTTTGCTACTCATCTTTGATATGCTATAAAGCAAGTAGGTATTGACATGTACATGGATGAGAATGAATTGAAATAGGAGGAAATATTTCATCTTCACTGCTCCAAGCAATCAAAAGTTCCAAAATTTCAATAGTTATATTATCAAAGACTGATGCTGGCTCTAGTTGGTGTTTGCAAGAATTAAGCAAAATCACCAGATCTGAGGTTGCCGGTGCCGGAGCTACTCCTTGTCGATTGTCCTTTTGTCTCATTCCTTGCCTTCCTTGCTATCGTGCTTTGAGCTTTCTTCTTGTTCTTCATCATCTGATGCTCTGCATTTTTCTATGTTCGTTATCCGTTAGTTTCGCCATCCATGAAGAGTTGCATTTGTTGATCATGGTCCTTAAATAGTAGAATACTGCATCAAATTGTTCTGTAATGTGGAGAAACCACTTCTAAGTAGGGAATGCTGGATGCAAGATCGGAAGGTGAAGATCTCGGTGCTTCAATGTAGAGATCTTAGTGCTTCAACCGAGGTGGAGATTGACTGAGGTTAGGTCCCGGATGTAGAGCTCCGGAGGTGAAGTAGAGGAAGGTGAAGTAGATCTAGAGGTGCAGCCAGGAGGTCACGGGAGGAGCAAAATACCATGCACAGCAAGATAAAATAATCAGACAGCTCGTGGATAGATAGATAAGAGAGAGAGAAAGCATAAAAAATTTAACACATCATTAATGCTTCAACACTTCTAACATTAACGCTGATGCTAACCCACGTCGGGTCTGTTTGGATTTCAGTGGGTATAATAGATTATGAAAATAATTGATTAAGTGGTAGATTTTATCATAATTGATTATGTTATAACGTAATCTGTTTGGATACTGTTTTTTTAAAATTGATTTAACCAGAATTGAAGATATTTGGATAATTTAATCAAATTAATTTTTAACTATATAATTAATTTTTAAATATCAAATAGTAATTTTTTAAATATATAAACTTTAAATTTTATTAAGGAAAAAAAAAAGAAAAAGAAGAGAGTTTAATTTTATTTTTATTAAATTATGTGCTTTCTTGTAATTTTTTTCTAGGCCTGTTTTTGTAATTTTCCCCAACGTTTTTGACAAACTTTGGCAAAAAGCGGACGAAGGGAGCTTCGGGAAAAAACGCGCGTTTTGGCCCAGAATCGATTTTTGATCATTTTCGACTGTTTGGATAGATGACAGAAAAAATCGATTTTTGGATCCAAAACGCGCGTTTTCTCCTTATCCAAACGGGCACGTCTTTGGGCTTCCAAAAAAATGCTCGGTTATGGCTAATTGAGATTGAAATTTTTTTCCTAATCCAAACAACACAAAATGAGCTTTTTATATCCTAACTTTAGTTTGACTGATTCTAACTAAAGTTGAAAGTTAATCTAAAATGCACTTAGTCCCTTTCGTGAGGTCAGAATTGCGTGCAGTGCATTCCTTGCCTTTTTTTTTTTTTTATTAAAGCAATTATCAATAACAATAACACCCATTTACCCACCTATATTTACATTTTTTTCTTTCTTTAAAAAAAAAAAAAACACTGGTGCACCCACTTATCCTTTCCGTTATGTTGGTTCTGACACTCCTTATTATAACATCCTAATTTTTAGATAAAAAAAATTTATGAAATTTAAGTTTTTTTTAAATGATGATAATAATAGAATTTATATTATTTGAGGTTATTTGAAAATAATAATATGGGTAGGCATTTAATTATGAATTAAAAACTTAATTTTAAAATTATATAAGAAATATTTTGTTAAGATATAATTTTAAGATTTAAAAAAAAATTATTATTATGTGTGTGTGAGAGTTAAAAAAAAAAGAAAAGAAAAAAAGAAAGTAAAAAAAGGGGATGGGGTTTAGTCCCCACATCGGTTAGATGTGGGAATGAAAGGCACCTCCTCATGTATAAAAAGAGGAGGTGCATGGTGGAGGAAGCATAAGGAATATTTATTGCAATTTGTGAAAATTGCAACTAAGGGCCCAAGATGCAATTTGTGAAAATTGCAAGTAATGGCCCAAATGTTTGAATAATTAAATTCAAACCTATAGTTTTTTTTTTATATAATTTTAGGACCCACAATCCCATTTTTTATATATTTTTCTCTCTTCCTCTCACGTTCTCGGCGTCTTCTTGCAAGGGAGGATTATTTTCTTTTTCTTCAGGTATGTTCTAACTTTCCTGTTTAGATTAGCATTTAAAAATTTATTTAATTACAAAATTAATTTTATAGTTATTTCTAAATAATATTAGCTTTCTAGTGATATGATTATTTGTAGGATAGAGTAAATATCTGATTAAGATTTTTCTATAGGATTTTAATCTGATGATATGATAAATTAAAAATATAGGTTAAAACTCTTAGGGATATAATAAATATTATATAATATTTTTTTGAGGTGAAACTCATATTTAAGAATTTTTGAGTTAAAATCTAGATCTATATGATTGAATTTATGTGGAATCTGAGATGTAGGGATAAACCTATGATTATTAATATTTATTTAAGTATGAATAGGTATTTTTGAGGTTACAGAAAGGTGATTTGAGGCTTCAGGATAATTCTAAAATTTTTAATTTATTTTTGGACGAATTTTTAGAATATAAAGGATGAAATTGTGATACTAGAAGTGAATTGAGGATAAAAAAATAGTTTATTAGGGTACGAAAATTTTAAAAAAAAGAATTTGGGAAGTTAAATGAGGCATAAATCTTAAATTAGTATTAATATGGATTATAGATCTAAGACTTTCTAACTCTTTAAATTAGAGTTATTTATTTTAATGTAAAATTAATATATAGTATTGTGAAATAATTATGTAGATTATATTGACAAAGATAGTGGTGAACAAGGAGTTGTGAAGGGTAACTTGTTATTCAAGACACAAGGTAACCATTATTAATGTGTTGTGATGGTGTGTTTTGTGAATG